ATAGATAAGGAAACTGAGACACAAAGGCAAACTGAATCACTGAGAGTTTAAGTTGCTCATGTTGCATTGTAGATATACCAATTAGGAGCTGGGCATATTGTGGAAGAAGAGACAGAAAGATTGTAATAGCCAGAGGACCAGGACAGATGCTGCTGGATAGTGTCTTCTAGACATGACAAGAATACTGTACCCATGAAATCTCAAAACTAAGGTTAGCTAAACAAGTTTCTAATAATGACAACATCAGTTGATATGCCAGTGTGGATAGGGGAAATTTCACAAGATCCCGCCCTTATATGAAGAGCTACAGGTAATCAATGGCTGATAAAAGAGATAAAATTAGTCTACTCAAGGGTTATCCAGTCCCAAGTGGTCAGCTCTAAACACATGTACATAAAAGCAACACTAAATGGGGTCGGGAGGTTTTGTGTGTGTGTGTGTGTGTGTGTGTGTGTGTGTGTGTGTGTGTGTATTAATTATAGAAGAAGAGGTCATAGATTTAAAAGGGAATATGAGGAACATAGGAGTTATTATGTAAATATAGTACTCATGTATGAAATTCTCAAAAATAAATTTAAAAGGTTTCTCCAGGGCTGGAGAGATGACTCAGTTGTTAAAAGCACTGGCTGCTCTTGCAAAGGACCTGAGTTCAGTTCCCAGCACCTACATGGCTGCTAACAACTGTCTTCTACTCCAGTTCCAGGAAATCTGATGCAGCTCTTCTGACCTCTGCAGCACTGTGTGACATGGGTGCACTTACATACATGCAAGCAAAACACTCATACACATAAAATAAAAAAATAAAAAGGGTTTAAAAAGATTTCATGTTTCAAACTCTGTATTTGAATATTTCCATATATTGCTCCTGCTTATTGAAATATTTTTAACCTCTTTCCTAATACACTTCTACCATCCTCCAAGAGTGGGGCATAATATCATCTCTTCTCAGGTACCACCATCGCCAGGTAAAACCAGACATTCCTTTTTACCACTGGAACATAAGGTTTATATTATAATTTACCTGAAAATAGATCTACCTAACATTTAGCACATCAGAACAGTAGGCTTACCAATGGATAGTATACCTTGTTGTAGCAATACAATGCATCAAGAACTACATGTTCTGGGCTAGAAAGAAGGCTTAGTGGTTAAGAGCAAGTACCGCTCTTATAGAGGACCTGACTTTGGTTCCTAGCACGCAAGTTGGGTAGCTCACAACTGCCTGTACCACTAGTTCCAGGGGAATCCAACACTTCAGGCCTCTGAGGGAACCTGAATTCACATGCATGTAAACACACACACACACACACACACACACACACACACACACACACACACAGAGAGAGAGAGAGAGAGAGAGAGAGAGAGAGAGAGAGAGAGAGAGACAATTAAATAAGATAAATATTTTTTAAAAGAATTACCTGTTCTGCCTAGCATGATGACTCACTAGGTTTGATATCCATCACTAAAAAAAAAACAAAACCAGTAATAAAAAACCTTATACATCCTACTATTATCGAAGAACAAGAGGACAAGTCAAGGGTGATCTTATTACTGATCTCCCTTTGCAGCCCAATTCTCCTAAAATTATTATCACATATCCATGTCACATAGTATTTTACAGGTAGTCCAAATAAAAACTGTAATTTGCACCTGTGGAATAATCTCTATCTAGGGCCAAATAAAAGCTGATGCCCACTTCATAATCCCCCAATAAAGTAATGTCTGTTTGGATAATTGAAACTGTCAAAATCAATAAGAAAAATTTAAAAGCACTCATGACAAGCCACTCTGAAATGAGGAAAAGACTGTAAGTCACTAATTACTATGATTTTTACAGAGAAAGTTATATAGTCTTTCCTAAATTGAATATTAAAGGTATAAAAGCTCCTTATTCTTGAACATATTTAGAGTTTGAACACATGTAATCCAGCATCTTCCACTAGGCAGGGATTTAATGAACATTTTGTGAGAACATCTGCTTGTTATTTGTCTTTGTCTCATTTTACACATCAGCAAATCCCTTTCTACCACCAGGACTGAATAAAAATCACCATTTTATTATACAACACTCATAATTTTAAACTTCAGCTGGGGGAGAAAAGAAACTACTTTCAGCAGTGTATTCTACCTGATGCTGAAAGGAAGAAGTAGAAGGGTGAGGAAGTGCAGAGGAGGAATGGTTAATATATAAATCCCTTTAACACATACTCTGCCATTGGCCACTGTGTTTTACTGTTCCACCAACTGCTGAAAATTAAAAGACACTATATCTTCCTAAAGAACATTTTTTTAAAATGCATTTTTATTTCTATTGAATTTTTGTGTATTTCATACACAATACCTTAATACTCTTTATACCCCCTTCCCCATTGGCACCCTCCCATAGCACCCACCTACACTGGATTTCATGCATTCTGTCTTTTAATTTGTCCTCTTGAGCCTATGTCAAAAAAATTAAGACAGTTCAATCAGACATAGGACTTGGAGCAATGGAGCTGCAGCCGACCTGGACGCCACCTTCCCTGAAGGCTAGCTCTCATAGCTTTGGAGAGCACTACACAAGCTGCTGAGGGAGAAAATCAATGGTCCAACCTAACTTCAAAGCCTAATAACCACATCAATGATTGGCACAGCAAATGACATTGGTACAGTAGTGGCACTTTTTTCTTGGGACTAATCAACAACTACCAACTTGGACTTAAAGCCCACTCAATGGGAGGAAACGCATGTGTGGTACTGTAAACCTAGCCAAAGACATAGCTAGAAAGGCCAAAGATCTTAGAGAAAACTCCAAGGCTGTCACATTACCCTACAAAAAAAAAAAAAGTCTTACAATGTGAAAATATGGATACTTATATTTACAGACAAATATCCCAGTCACCACTCATCAAAGAAGTTTCTTTTGCAACAGACAGAGATTATTACAGAGTTCCACAACTGGTCACACACGGACATTGTGAACTGCCTAAGTCTAAGTGGCACACTTACAATGCAACCTCTACACCTAACGCTCACAGAACATAGAACAAGGGGTAAAGAGAAAATTAATATATCTCTCAGTTCTCGTCAATGAAGCTCCTTCATGCAACAGAGGGCCAGAAACACAAAAGGTCACAAGTGGCCAAAGAGTAGAGAGTTTGAGTCTGCTGAGTGTGGATCCTTGGACAGGACCTCTATATTTAAAATCCACCCACCCAGGACTCAGGGACTACTCTGGAATAGGCAGAAGAAAGATTGTAAGAGACAGGGAGGAGGTGCATAATCTTATGAAAATAGAGTCCTACAGACTCCTGGGATCTTGGACCCATGCAAACTCAAGCAGACAAAACCCCAGCACAGAACTGCATAAATGGGCAATCTTAGTCAAAGAATTATTGGCAGTTGATTACTACTGGGTGAGGAAGAGCTGATCTTCTTAAAGGGAGGGACTCTAGATAGGCAGATAAGAACTTAGTGAATGTACTTGCACTGAGGGACATCTGAGGACACTAACTTGACATGATAGGGCTTAACAAATGCATTCATAAGAGTGGGTGGGAACTATGGGAGGATGCCAATGGGGAAGGGGTATAAAAATGATTAAGATGTTCTGTATGAAATATACAAAAATTCAATAAAAAATTTACCAAAAAATAAAAAGAACCAATGTAAGAAGGAGAATTAGGACTAGTTCCATCTTGTTTGGTTTTTCATTTAACAAGGCTGTAACCTGGAAATTTCTCTGATAAGCCATGGTCCCTTCTTTCCTTCCTCTGTGGAAGGAAAGCCCATTAAGGGGCGGGGCTAAGGAGATATAAGCCTGTAAAACCATGAGGCTGCTCTCTTGCCATTTTGTGTGGCTGTTTGGAAGCCACCAGACATATTCGGGTATGGACTTTCGTGCACAGCCATAAATGGGGTAGTCACCATTTTTGGAATAAAGAGTAGCAAAAGGCGGGACCCGGTGAGACAAGACAAGGCCAAGTGGGGGCGGGAAACTGATGACACATGCATTTCAAATACGGAAAAAGAAAAGCCTATAAGAATCCGGGGTTTTGTAAGTCACCCCTTCCCAAATGTCATATAAACTATGCAAAATCCAAATAGGATGCCTTATGTTGGTTTGTCAATCTGCGTCAGAACCAGGAGACCCTGAGTCAGAGGTGGGACTCCGAGAAAAGGGAAAAATTTAGTGAAACAAAGGCTCGTACCCAAATGAGAGTAGTTGCAAGCAGCTTCAGTTTTTTCTATCTCATACAGATAGTTGTGTTTTAAAAAAGATGGCTCAATCAAAAATAACTTTTTTCACTATACTCTACTGAGAGTTTAACAAAAAAATAACCAGTGGACTTAAAGATCTAGGAAACCTGGGAAATAAGAAAAGCAAGTACTATTATGTCAGTATTCCTAACCTGTTAAAAAAGCTACTAAAAGTTAAAGCTATTAGAAGCCATTTCTATGTGCTCCCAGTAGTCATTATGAGAAGGAGCCAGTAGCAACACCACAAGAGAAAGCAAGTAACATAAGCTAGTACAAAGTGAGGAAAGAACACTGCCAACCTTGGCAGAGTGAATACACCCATTTCCATACTGTACATTCATCATAGCACCCACTTGCAAACATAGTATGTTTTATGATAGACAATGACATTGAATGAAATCTTAATTATAATAGTAGTTTTAGTTGATCTTTCCTTAGATAAAAATATGTTGCTAAATATGTCATGGAGAATTCCAAAGAAAGGAGTAAGAAAGGTACCATCCTTGCCTTCAAGAACTTAACAATCAGGTCCTCCAACCGTGCATTATAGTGCAAATCTATCACTAGTCTTACATAAAAGGGAACAGGTTTAGCACCTATAAATATACTAAAGAACAGAAATATATATGATACTTAATTGAACATTGGGGAATAAATTTAGTGCAATAAACACACTAAAGAACAGGAGGATATATACTATTTACTTAAACATTGGATTTGGTGGTATAGACATGAATACTGTTACAGTTCAGAGAAGTGGTCAGCTTAAAGGATAAAATCTCAAACTGGGCATGGTGGGACACACTTTCAATCCCAGCACTTGGGAGGCTCTTTATGAGATTCAGCCCAGCCTGGTCTATATAGTGAGTTCCAGATCAGCTGGGGCTACAGGGAGACCCTGTCTCAAAAAAAGTATAAAATCTCACAAATGATATTTATAATACTTGATTGTGTGGTCAAAAGGCATTATTGTTATGGTTCAAAAGCAAAGAAACAAAAGATACAACATAAAATAAGCATACAATATTTGTGCACATAGGTACATATGCAAATACCTGTGTCCAAGTATTAAAACAAAGACATGTACAGACTTACAATTATGGCTACTCACCACTCATACAGAAGCAAACACACACACACACACACACACACACACACACACGCACACACACACTAATATAGGACTGAATGAAAGAAAACTATTTCTGACTAATGTGCTCCTTTAGTTTTGTTGTTCTTGACTTTCATTTTTATTTTATGCATATGCATGTTTTTCCTGCATGTATACATACACACAATTATATAT